AGTCACTTTACGATAACATAATTAGTACCTGAATATTAAGTGCTCTGGGTATGTAATGATGTGAGCGACGATATTAGACGGTAATTTAATTATTCCTACTTTCTCGTACCTTGCTATGTGTCGAAATTAATCATTACGCACAATATGTGACATACCGCTCCTCGCCGCAGTTAATTTGGATCAATGAGAAACGTAGAAAGTGTATCGCAAAGGTGTTTGCCGACTGTAAGAAAGTAGTAATGTAGATTACATAGAACTCGTAGTTAAATTTATCATAGTTTGAGCAGTGTTATTGTATAAGGAAGTCTACAGAGAATAGAATTTCCTACATATATATATGTATACAAATTCAATTAAATTAATACGCACCGTCGTATTGATTCAATCTCTGGAAAATGGAATAATCTTCGATTTATGAAACGAACAATTTTCAATTCATGTGACGTCTTGATTGGAAAATGTCACAGACGTATCCTCTTCAGCTTATGCCAGTTTCCGTTTTCTCTTTTTACGCGTTTCCATTCTCGGCCCGTATATTGATCACGATTTTTTTCTTTCGAATTGATTAAGTGATATAAATTAGGAAGTTAAAGCTGTTAGAGCAGGTGCACACGATATACGGGGCCAAAGTTAGGTTTCCCAGACGTAATTTATATCGTTTAACAATCAGAAAGCTAAATTCTTCGTCCTTTTCATTTCTTTCACATTTAAATAAGTATTGCTCTATTACATATACAATTGTATTACCGTATCGTTATCTAAAATAATACAAAAATATATTAAACATAATTATTAAAAAACACAAAAGATATTTCATTGTGGACTATCTATGTAGATAACCCACAAATAAAATTTGAAAATTGTGTGCCCCTGCGTTAGAACAAAACTGTTTTTACTACATGTAATTATTGATAAGTCGAGCGGCGAATTTGTTAGATCATAAAAGTTGTAGTTTATAATGTTACAGAGTATCTCTTAGTCCCGTTGAACAAGATATCTGATTTCTTTAAATTAACATATATAAGGATAAACGTTACCAATCTTAACGATCGTTACAAGACCTTTTTTAATATAAAAAAAATATACATATATATATATATATATATACACATTAACTTTTGATGTGATGAATTGTTTGTATACTGCCAATTTTTATAGGATATAATCGAGTCTCGATTTTCGATTAAACGCACGTGGACAAATCGTAATTTTACGAATTCACAGGCGAGATGAATGTCATGTTTATCGGGACATTTGTAAACGATAGGCATTTTTTTTCCTAAACTAGTCTCGCAATCATTAAGTCAGGATTGTTAACGAATTTACACAGTAGACACAAATAGTACACCTCGGAATGTAAACAATGTTGGTAGAGTTTATGGAATTCGCTTTATGTCATCTATTGTATTGCCAATAGTATTTCGTTACATAAGATAAAAAAAATTTTTTACAAGATCTTTACAGTTATTTAAGGTTTTCATTCCTTATATCAATTTAATTGTGTTTAATAATATTTTTAATACTTATTTCTACTGCAATTATATGAAACATATAAGATTTTGATCGCTAATAAATTTTGTAAAAACAAACAGTATTGGAACAAAAATAATTTTTTTCCAAGAAATTTTCCGTTTTATATTTATATACTTATAAACACACGTTTTCATTTAACGAGGTGCATAAAAAATTAAGGGAAACAAAAGGGTAAATTTAAAAATTATGCATTTCCATGAATTTATTACTGTCAAAGTTAATGAAACCATTACGGCAATGATGCTGGTAGTAGTAAATTCACAATTTGGACTAATTATAATTACTTTTATGTCTATATCATGATATACTTTGTACGATACATTTTGCTCGTGTAATATATTATACAAAAACTTATGTGCTTTTCACATTAAATCTATTATTAAAATCTAATAATAGATAATTTTTTTGTATATTGTTTTATTCGTAAATTATTGTTTATATTAAAGATTATAATTTTCAAGATAATCTTTTAGAATTAACCGTGTGTGTGTGTGTGTGTGTGTGTGTCTACAAAATAGGTGCACGAAGAATTAAATGTGCCTCACAATGATTTTGTATGGTATTTAAAAATTTTTTTTAATCTTATATCCAGATTGTTTTGAGAAAGATTTGTAGTGAGTTTTTCTAGATCATAATCCGAGCTTGGAGGTATTTGCACAATCACGTTGCGTTTACGATGAAAATATCTTACAATTAGTCGGAAATATCATGAAATTGTAATGGATGTTCTCAAGGAACCTGCGGTAATCATGTTAATCATATAACAGCTTTGTCGTCAATCGATTCTTAGAAATCGCGTAACTCCGTTGCCTTGTAAATATACCTAAAGCAAGGTTCCCTTATTGCAACACGTTGAACATTTTGTAAAGTTTTATAAATAGTTCTACGTAGTTAAACAGCTGGACCAATAAAGTATATATCCGATTGTACGTTATTTCTATATGTATTCTATATATATTCACACCCTACTCAGTCATAATATTCGATTGTTTTATCGAAGACAATTATCACAGATAAGATGCAGTGATCATTAATTAACAATGAAATTGCAGCTCTTTACATATACAGTAATACATAATATGTATATTTAATTTCTACCTAGCTTATATTATTAATGATATACTTCAATCATTACTTTTGCCATTGATCTCATCTCTGTGTATACTTCTTTACGTTAAATCATACAATTAATATAGTCTATGGTTACTAAGAATATTTTTATTTACTACGCAAATAAAAATTATCGCAAAATTATTATGAGAATAAATGCAAAGTCAGAATAAACAAAAAATATATCATGTAATTTAAATAATTCCATCATTTATTTAAATTATAAGTATATTTACTCCATCACAAGAATTATACTATACTTCACAGTATTGCGAGGATATTCCCCCTTTCCGAAAATGATACATAACAACATCGTATGTATAAAGAAAAATTCAATATGAGTAAAAACGTCTGAGAATATACATAGAGGAATAATGCGTGAGATCCTTTAATAACTAATAATCATCAATTTCTTTAAGCTATAATACAATATAAATATACAGCCCAGTTCCAGAATTTATGAATGAAAAGTGACAGAACCCGAATTTGTTCCTGAATATATCATAACAGGAAATTCGGTTCTTAGTACGGTGCTGATGAGTAGAATTTTGTATTCGTTGTATTTTAGATGACAAAAAACACAGTACAATGAAATAATGTTATCACGTTGATTGACTATTGACCTTAAAGAAATCACGGTAACTAAAAGCTAGCATGATTTTCATACTTGAGTTTACAGGCACGTATTTTCATAGTACCGGATATAATCGTGGTGACCAACTGATTTTTACATAAAAAATTTATAGACATTCAAAAACGGACAAATATCTGCGATCTCTGTATTTAATTGCGAATGGACCCTTGTTTTGGGGTTGTACTTGTTGCTACGTAACAATATTAATCCAACTCGTTAATGTTCTTGCGTAACAATGTAATATCATACAAAATTGCTCGTTAATACATTGTGTTTAAGTACATTCACAATTGTGGCTCCACGATGAACTTCCGTTAATTTACAATAAAAGTAACATGCTCATCACTCGCAAATTTCTATCACTGCGAGAGGAGCATGTTTCTGATCGCGAGACACGTAAGTTTCGCATAGAGAACTTTTACTGTCCTTCAATAAGTACTAATACTATCCTTCTCACATTTATATATGGCATTTTGTAAGTGTAAATAAAAAAATAGCTGATGTTTTGTTCTTTTAGAGTACCAAATTAATATTTTAGAGATTACATAAAATATTAATTTAACTAAATTTATATCACTTAATAACCAGGGCTCATAAGCAATTTACTATTATAAATTGAATAATTGTTACTTATGTGCACATATTTCACAGAGTTCGCGTACAGATCGTGAAATATTTTACAAATAAATATTTTAAATTTATACAAAATGATAAAATGTTCTTCTTTCGATTTAATGCAGAAATTAAAAAACAATACAAATAAAATTACAAAATATAAAAATGTGCGCGTGTGTTTGTGCGTGTATACTGCATAATGATAAACATTTAAAACAGTAATACAATCTGTACATAAAAAAGTCAGGTATGACAATTGTGCTATGAATAATTGTTTAATCTATGTCAAAATTATATAATTATATATAATTTAAATAATTTCTAAAAATCTCTCTAAAACGTAAAAAATTGTGCTCACCTCAAAAATGAATTTTAATTTAAACAACATTGGATTACAAGCCCTGATTATATTGTAGATTAGTAGTCTCGAATAGAGAAATAAATCCTTCCAATTTAGTAGGTAGATAAATATATAATTTTGAGTAAACTTAAACTATATTTGAGTACCTTTCGAATATAAATAATAATTGAATACAGGAATTGAAACCGGTATTATTCCGCCGAGTTTGGATAAGCGATATTAATCCCTATATGTATTATTTGTGACAATGTAAATGTAACAATCGATACAAAGATCTTTTCCAAATATTAGGAACTTGGTCGGTCCAGGCAAACTCTGAGATGCGATAATTTAAAGTATTCTATACTATATGATGCCGTTTTCTGGCAGTGACCTGACGCAAGACACAATTGTGTATCTCTTATGATATCTATGATAAAGGAAATTAAATTCACCGAAATTATACCCGTTTCACTTCTTGTTTAAGAAAAACAATTGTAAATTTCATAATATTAGGTGTACAAATTAGTTCGGTCCGGTTTTTGTGTTCAAAAATGCATTTATTTCAAAACAAAATGAATGAACAGATTAAATAAAGTATTGTCCATCGCTGGCTACTACCTTTTCCCATCTCTCAGGCAATTTTCGAATTTCATCTCGAAAAAATGACTCGTTTTTGGAGGCGATCATCTTTTGGAAAACAGACCGAACTAATTTGTACTCCCAATATTTTGTTATTATACACATGTATATGTGTTTGCTGCGCTGTGTATGTGTGTGTGTATATATATATGTATATACATATATACACATGTGCACATATATCTAACGCATTATTATGTACGTATCGTACATAATATGGCGTTTGTATATTGTGCAAATAATCGAACACTTAACGTTGAACCATTGTACAGAGCATATCGCAATGTATATAGAATTAAGATACGCAGAAAGTATATAAGAACACTTGCTGTTCGTATCTCTCCTTCCTTTCTGCCGTCCTCGCGTTACGGCGATCAAGTATAACGAAATTGTTCTATTAGACGTTTAATTCAATAGGCTTTCACTGCTAGGCCGTGGTTTAGTAACCAGACTATATAAGGCTCGTATTCCGTTCTCCGTTAGATCCGGAGGCCCGAACAAAAAATCCCGTCGAGCGTTCGGATTCGACAACAGGTCCCGCATGCTCTCGGTCGTAAGCACCCAAGAGCGTAATGAGGTTTGCGTTAAATTTACTTTCCTAGCCAGTGTCCCGGTAATGTGCACGTCGTCGATCCAAAAGTATGGCTCTTTCTGAGCCTCGCGGTACAGTATAAATACACTATCGGGAGAGTATAGGATCGCCCATCCGGCACAATATGCGGGATAAAGTCTACCGGGATACTCCTGAGGAGAGACGCGCCATTTCGAGCGCCAAGATCTCTTCACTGCGGAAGCCGACAGAAGATCACAGAGAATCAGACGTCTTGCACCCCACGGCGATAGACCATGCGTTAGAAAGTCCAGCATGGCCGGTAAATGAACAAAAACGTCATCGTCTAATTTAAGAATATATTTGGCACCTGAAACAAAAAATAACGTCAAAATCAGGGGTATGTTAAGTTAGCACCCCAACTATAGTACTCAGGAGTTCTGATTAGAGTTCCTACTTCCTTTTGACGAGACGAAGAATTCCCTATAGTTAATAACAAGAGTTTCGCTCAATAAACATTCTTTTTATATTTTTTAAAAATGGGGTGCTAACTTTTTATCGAATTTCGAGGTGGAATAGTTCTGAGCGGCTTAATAGCTTCAATTTGCGATTGTCTAGAGTTCCTGACATGTAAAAAAAATTTTCGAATAATAAAAAAAAAATTAAAAATTTTTGAAAAATTAATTTTTAGATACAATAGTTCTGATGATAATTTCTGCTTCTTTTTGACGATACGAAGAGTTCTCTATGATTTTTAATGACATATGCGCTTAATAATAATTTTTTAATAATTTTTTAAAAATAGGATGCTAACTTTTTAATGAAATTCAAGGTCGCATAGTTCTGATCAGCTTAACAGAAATATTTTGTGAATACCCAGAGTTCTTGATACATAAAAAACATTTTTGAAGAATAATAAAGTTTAAAAAAAATAGTAGAAATCTTTAAAAATTTTTTTGAGAGTACCGAGTAGTTCTGAGTTGCGTTTCTTATAGTACTTGACGAGTTCTATCGAAAACTGTAAGGTGGAAAAGGGATTGGACCAACGGTTTGCAAGATACAGCGACATTTGTCAGAAGATCAACAATTTTTAGAGTATATCTCGGAAACCATTGGTCCAACCGCTTTGAACCCTGATACTTTTCGACAGAACTCGCCGAGAACTGTCCAGAACTCCGAACAGAACTACTCGGTATTCCCAAAAAATTTTCCGACGTGGAACAAAAAAAAAATGTTTGATCAAAAATTTTTTGGGAGTACCAAGTAGTTCTGTTCGGAGTTCTGGACAGTTCTCGACGAGTTCTGTCGAAAAGTATCAGGGCTCAAAGCGATTGGACCAACGGTTTCCTAGATATACTCATTCTAAAAATTGTTGATCTTCCGACGAATGTCGCTGTATCTTGCAAACCATTGGTCCAATCGCTTTTTCACCTTACAGTTTTCGATAGAACTCGTCGAGAACTGTAAGAAACGCTACTCAGAACTACTCGGTACTCTCAAAAAATTTTCCGACATGGGACTCATTGTCAGAAAAAAATTTGAAATCAAAATTTTTTGGGAGTACCGAGTAGTTCTGATCGGAGTTCTGGACGGTCCTCGACGAGTTCTGTCGAAAAGTATCAGAGTTCAAAGCGATTGGACCAACGGTTTCCGAGATATACTCACTTAAAAAATTGTTGATCTTCTGACAAATGTCGCTGTATCTTGCAAACCGTTGGTCCAATCGCTTTTCCACCTCAGTTTTCGATAGAACTCGTCGAGTACTATAAGAAACGCAACTCAGAACTACTCGGTACTCTCAAAAAAATTTTCAAAGATTTCTATTTTTTTTAAATTTTATTATTCTTCAAAAATGTTTTTTATGTATCAAGAACTCTAGGTATTCACAAAATACTTCTGTTAAGCTGATCAGAACTATGCGACCTTGAATTTCGTTAAAAAGTTGCACCCCATTTTAAAAAAATTATTACAAAATGATTATTAATCGCATATGTCATTAAAAATCATAGAGAACTCTGCGTATCGTCAAAAAGAAGCAGAAATTATCATCAGAACTATTGTATCTAAAAATTAATTTTTCAAAAATTTTTAATTTTTTTTTTTAATATTCGAAAATTTTTTTTACATATCAGGAACTCTAGGCAATCGCAAATTGAAGCTATTAAGCCGCTCAGAACTATTCCACCTCGAAATTCGATAAAAAGTCAGCACCCCATTTTTAAAAAATTAAAAAAAAATGTTTATTGAGCGGAACTCTTGTTATTAACTATAGGGAACTCTTCGTCTCGTCAAAAGGAAGTGGGAACTCTAATCAGAACTCCTGAGTACTATAGTTGGGGTGCTAACTTAACATACCCCAAAATCAGATATATATAAATACTACACCCTTGTAATTTTAATGAAAATTTAAAAAGTAATAGATATAAAGATTGTGTGTTCTTTTCAAGTAGACACTCGCACGCGATCAAATCGATATTGAATCTATTCAATTAAATATCGATTATTATCAATTATTATCAGCTATTATCATTATAATATTGTTGTAATATATGATATAAGATACAATAAACGACATGATCGCAAATTAAAAATAAATAAAATTGAGTTATAAAAAAAGATGGTTATCACATTACGTTCTCTTCTTACTTGGACAATAATAAGTAGTCCACTTTAATCCCATAACGTGCTTATAGGTCATGTTTCTATAGGCATCAAGAAAGTTTCCCTGTATTAAGTCTTGGTATTTTTCGTTCTCATTCTCGAGCCTGGATTGATATTTCTCCGAGTATCCCACGAGAAATAATAAAGTCACGTCCGGCGCTTGCTGGCCCCAGGTCTCCCGTACAACATGCCTCTTCGGGAAATTCCCTGGCGCCGAGTGAATCAACATTAGTAGCAATGGCTGTGTACGATTACAGGGATTGTGGTTCATAATGAACCTGAAGTCCGTGATGTTGATCAGCGTAGATTTATCATCGGACGGAAGTTCGTTTATCGAGTAGGGCTGCGTGGAGGGTGTGACGTTTCCGGGAAATATAAGGATATATCCTGGCGCGGCCACACCGCCGCTGGAGTAAGGAATCGGCGATCCTGAACCATCGATGTGAATCCAAAACGAGAAGCATCCAGTTAGTGCCAAAACGACCACAAAGATGAGGGTGCATGGCGAAGTACCGGAGGCATGTAGCCGCCGCTTATCCAGCATACTAATAAGCCCCTTTCATCATATACATCGGATTTTGCCTGAAAACACAAATGTCCTCGATTAGTTGAACTTGTTCTCGCATTTACAGATTATTATTACTCGTATTATATAGATCCTGTGCATTCCGGATGACTCGTGCACATCCTTATTGTACCAGTTTTATAAATTATAATATAAATTAGAATGTATCTTGTACAATTTACAAAAAGAGACAAAATAATTAATAACAGCTTATAAAGAGCCAACAAGAATCCGTGATTATTGATACACAAAGTATATTATATGTTTATTAGTGAAAAGTTACATGTAAAAATACAAACGTTTCAACTATAAGTTCTTATCTTTCTGAGTGTAACCGACTGCGAGAACATTCTGATCGAAAAATTGGACGCTAGCGTCATTTGATAAAACATTTATAAGTTGCAAACTAATGTTTTCTGATCACTGAAATAAAATAATACACACAAGTTACGATCATTGAGAAAAGGCGTATAGAATTCTATAAAGTCGGATAGTAACAAAATAGCCTAGAATACCACTGTTCAATAATAAAATAAACATCGATAAAGGAAAATTGTAAGTCAGTAAGTAATACATGATAAAAAACAAACAACTAGAGTAGATAATAAATATGACTCTAATGATAAAAGAAACTGCAGTGAGAATGTTTCTAGTTTTTAATAATTAAATTATAATGAAAAGATATGAAAATATGCAAGACTGACAAATGTTTCAGACAAAAGACTTATGTGGCGCTTGAGAGTGTGGAAATAATGATAAAATTAATTTTTTAAAAGAAAAATAACTTGTCAAGGTCACATAAAAGCTATCGCTATTTTTTTAATGAACTTGTATGTGATTTTTTTACATAATATGATTCCCTAAGGTCATGGAGCCGGTCGGTCCCTTAATCTACATATACGTATTTACATTATAATTTTATAAAAGCAACTTGGATCACACTTTATTTGCTGTTTTAACATTTCTTTTATGAAACAGAGGAAAACATATATTTAGGTCATATTAGGTACATGTGTGCTCAATATGATTTAAATATTACTTTTTTCTGATCTTCACTGCACTCATGTAAATATTTAAAAATGTCTTACATTTTTTTTAATGTTTAGAAATGTTTTCTCTTTTAAATATATCAATTTTCAATATTAGGCTTATTATCAGCAAAAAAATTAGAACAAAATTGTAAAGTTTAAATATGCCATATGAAAAAATTTAGTTACCTCATATCAACTTTACGCGCACGTCCAAGGAGAAAACGAGTTTTAAAAATTTCATAAACAATAATAAATCCACTTGCACAAAGGTCACGTGTGTGTTGTATATGAGATCGCAAAGTTAAAAAGTATTAAGTAATGCTGTTTGTAAAAAGTTTCCCACACGAATCAATGGACACCACGGAGAAGTAGCACACGAAGCATAACTAGCTATCGACACTGATAAGCTTTCCGTAGAAGACGATTTACAGTCTGATTTTATAATTTATTTTGAGATCATTTAGATTTTTATTATTTGATAAGTATCATTTTATTGATAAGTATCATTTTATTGATAAGTATTCTTTTATCGATAAGTACGCAGACTAAAAGCAAATATAGATATTCGTGCGAAATTATAACGCATTAATTCTACAGTGTCTCTTTACACACTTCAGATACTATTTCATAATAGATAACGATATACTTCTCAGCGATAATTTTATAGGTACTTAGATAAGTTAATAAAATAGGTAACGAGATTTAGAACAGAATTGATAATAAAAATTTTTTTAAACAATTCACAATTAAAAAGTATTAAAGCAATAACACATTTTGCTAAATTATTACGAATTGGAAAACTCAAATATTTATGAAAGCTATAGCATCTGCATATAACGTCTGTGCATATAGAAATGCTTTAAGCGTTGCTTGATAAGTGTAAGCTTAAGATTTGAAATTACGTTATATAAAATACATATTTTTGACAAGTAGGCAGTAAATGATCAAAAAATATGTATTTGTATTTACAATAATAAAATCAGAAATATACAAATGCTATTTCTAAAGTTACGATAGAGTAATTCAAAAAAGATTCTCAATTATGTTCGATAAAATTAATAAAATAATAAAATTACGCCTTTAAATTACACGCATACGGAACTTGTTTAAGTTAAATTATAAAATCGAATGAAATTGTAAAACTAATTTTCCTCGAAACCACGGGTAAACTCTCTTGCAATAATATTCATATAAACTGCAAACGTAACTCTGTAGGAAAATCGATAAAAGTTTCCTTTTAACAAGCCAACACAACATAACAATGGATTCCTAGACTTACGAGAGAACTAATTCCGAGTGCAAACAGGCGACAACTGTTATTCAGCTTTTCTGTTAGCTTCTATAATCTACCAATATAGATATGGATAGCAATATTATCCTACTCGATTTACACAGATTATATTTGACAGTAACAATATTCATAATTTCAAATATATTTTATCTAGAAATTAAAAATACCTTTGCAGGAATGACTTCTGTGATAACGAGACAACAAATATTTTTAATGTACTTAATCTTATCGCAACTTTATGTAAAATATAAAACAATACTAAAATCAAATTAATATATCTCCGATTTTTCTTCTTTAAATTAAATAAGGTTGACTTGAGACAAAAGTATAATATATATAAATTAATTTAAGTCTATATATATTCTTAGAATAAATCTTTATCTAATGTTACAACGCACGATGCTGTTGTCACAACATTTGGCAAGAAACCAAGATCATTTTATTCTCTAGATTTAAAAATTTTCCATTTAAAATATTCCTCTGTTAACAATAAATATAATTATCTTTACATCAATCTTATTTTATGATAGATAAAAAAGTAACAGCAACTGAAAATCTTTTTTTTTGGGTGTAACAATGAACTATCGTACTAAATTTTGTATCCAACACACTGAGCGTCATTAAAAGTTTACGCTGCAACAATTTTTCGTCACGTCACTCGAGGTATTATACAGCTATTTTTGTATCGTCTCGTTTATCATTTCTCGATTTTCTTATTATTATAACAAAGTTTCTTTGATAGACACTATATATTGTACAATCTATAGACTATCTATCATTCTTACCAAAATTAACAAAAATTATATTTCTAATTTAAATAGAATAGTACATATTACTATAAGTTTTGATTTTTTGTAATGTTTGATGGCAAACATGCAGCACGAGTTGTGACGAGGCGTGGCGTGCTCCGTATTGCACAACTATAATTTCGAAGAAACTTGTGCTATATATTTTTCAGCTGTACGTCAAGGGCATAAGAAGTTCATGAACGAATAGCGACGGTCGATTAGCACACGTAATGAATTCATTATATCACATTGTTGTAAGTAGCGTATTGGTGTCTATTAGAAAAACGCTAGTATGTCATTAAGACTAAAAAGTCGTTCGATCGATTTGTTGTTTGACTTTAGTCAAGGTCGATATGAACTCGGTATGTCAATCCAAGACCGATAAACATCATTTGTAGATGAATTTTTCAATTTCAATGGCGAAACAAGGCTGTAGTACCTGCTTTCGTATATGTATGTTGGTATATATGTGTTGTATGTTCCATCATCTTATTACGTAGATACAGTTCTATATTGGAAGAGAATTAAACCCCAGCCAATAGACTGAAAACACTTTAAAGTATCTATTTCTAACTTCCTCCGTCTTCTCACGTATGCGAAATCGAATATCAAGAACGTGCACGTAGGATGCTAATGTCTGAAGAATGTCGACTGGATAATATCAGTCAATATCGATCAATATCGATATGTTTGTTGCGTTATTATGTTTCCTAAGGAGATTCTCGACAATCTGCATAAGCTACGAGCAAGAAGCCTCCTGTTTAATCCAGATAATCCATTTCATACGACTCGCATTGCTGCGTAATGTATAGGATGCACAACGTGCAATATCAAAGATAGAACAGCTCTCTTGAAAAGCACAGGCCATTCGTGTTTTTATAATTATCCTCTTATTGCGAAACGGATCACGCGTTAATCTTTATTCGAAATAAACAAGAGATAAAAGTTTGATTCATTTCCCAAAAACAATTAGCGAAAACAATTTAACGTGTAACAAACGTCATAAAATAAATCGCTGTTTTTTTATTGCCCATCCAATTCTGTCTGAGAATCGATGCCACGTAAGATAACAAGAAGATAAGGTAATCACTGATAACTGCGTGAATTTATCTTATTCGCACTGGAAAAAAGTCTGATTGCATTAATTGCAATTTTGGTTGAGAATGAACAAATCAGAATTTGTTAAATCTATTTGTGGTTTCGGAATGATTCATCTTCCTCCTTGACCTCATTTACAAATATCAGCAAATAATAAAGTAAGATGACATCTAAGCGATCAGACCACAAGCGCTATGCGGCTTGCGTATGCTGTCAATTCGCGCTCTAATATTCGTAAAGCAAGATAATAATTCTATAATTTCGTGCAACCAAATCATTTTAACTGATGAGGAACGATCGCAAAAACATGCGAGTTACGATTTCGTTATCGTTGAATTCCGATTATATATCCATATCGTAATTAGAACTCGGATTAGTTTTCGTGGGATGGAGGCTTAATCAGAAACTGATTGAACGTGCGGTGTGTTACGCCCCGGTTTAAGATGGATTTTACAGTAATACAGCTATTCACATCGCTAAAGTAAATGGATTACCATGCACATAAGGGCTTGTCCTGATCCTTGAATCATCGGTTTCGGAGTCGGCGTTATCGATCCTGGTAAGTTCATGCACTGACATTCATGGCTATTACGCCACATATGTTAACACTTAAAATCGATAAGTTTTTCTGGAATTTCATCACGTAAGTTTAGCATGAGACGTATTGCGATGTAAGAAAATATTAAGACTTTGTCCCCTGAAGTTTTCTTTAATTCATTTCATAAACAGGACATTAATTTTTGGCTTGTAACTCTAGTAGCTCAAAAGTAA